GCTCCACCGAAGGCCCCAGTGGGGGTGTTCGCATGCGGTCCCCCACCCAGGGCAGCGCGTGGCCCCATTCAGTTCACAATCAGGCAGCGCTTCGCAGCCATATGCTCCACCGAAGACCTTAGTGGGGGTGCCCGCATGCGGTTCTCCCACCCAGGGCAGCGCTTCGTAGCCCCATAGGGAGCTCCACCGAAGGCCCCAGCGGGGGTGCCCGCATGCGGTTCCCCCACCCAGGGCAGCGTTTCGTAGCCCCATAGGGAGCTCCACCGAAGGCCCCAGTGGGGGTGCCCGCATGCGGTCCCCCCACCCAGGGCAGCGCTTCGTGGCCCCATAGGGAGCTCCACCGAAGGCCCCCGTGGGGGTGCCCGCATGCGGTTCACCAATCCAGGGCAGCGTTTCGTGGCTCATAGGGAGCTCCACCGAGGGCCCCAGTGGGGGTGCCCGCATGCGGTCCCCCCACCCAGGGCAGCGCTTCGCAGCCCCATAGGGAGCTCCACCGAAGGCCCCAGCGGGGGTGCCCGCATGCGGTTCCCCCACCCAGGGCAGCGCTTCGCAGCCCCATGGGGAGCTGCACCGAAGGCCCCAGTGGGGGTGCCCGCATGCGGTTCCCCCACCCAGGGCAGCGTTTCGTGGCCCCATAGGGAGCTCCACCGAAGGCCCCCGTGGGGGTGCCCGCATGCGGTTCCCCCACCCAGGGCAGCGTTTCGTAGCCCAGTAGGGAGCTCCACCGAAGGCCCCAGTGGGGGTGTTCGCATGCGTCTCCCCTACTCAGGGCAGCGCTTCGCGGCCCCATAGGGAGCATCCACCGAAGGCCTCAATCGGGGTGTTCGCATGCGGTTCTCCCACCCAGGACAGCGCTTCGTGGCCCCATGGGGAGCTCCACCGAAGGCGCCAGAGGCGCAGTTCGCATGCGTCTCCCCCACCCATGGCAGCGCTTCGTGGCCCCATAAGGAGCTCCAGCGAAGGTCCCAATAGCGCAGTTCCCATGCGTCTCCCTCGCCCAGGGCAGCGTTTCGTGGCCCCATGGAGAGCTACACCGAAGGCCTCTGTGGCGGTGTCCACATGCGTCCGCGCCACCAAATTCGGCGCACCCCTCACAAATTTCGTGGCCCCATAGGAGCTTCACCGAAACCAGTACCCACAATGCGGTACTCGCAACTTCACATGGTTGGGTCTTTCGTCAGGCTAATGTTGATCCCTCCCTTCTCCTCATCCTCTTCGTTTTGCTTTTTGTTCACCCTCCCGCCTTCCTTTGTTTTCCCTCCTCTTTTTTCCTCCTCCTCCTTTTCCTCCTCCTCCTCCTCCTCCTTCCCCTCTCCTCCTCCTCCTCCTCCTCCTCCTCCTCCTTCTCCTCCGCTTCCTCCTCCCCCTCCTCGTCCTTTCATTCCTGTCCTCCTCCTCCTCCTCCTCCTCCTCCTCCTCCTCCTCCTCCTCCCTGCTCCTCCCTCCTCCCTCCTCCCTCCTCCCTGCTCCTGCTGCTCGTGCCACCGGGCCCCAGGGCCGTCGAACAATTACCCTGCGACGTGCCCAACCCATTTGCATCAGGTGACGAGACAGGTGCGCCCACACTTGCCAGGGCAGTGACAGTGCAGGTGCACCTACAGTCGGGGCCCTGAAGAAGGAGCCCTTCTCGTTGGGGAGGGGCTCCGTGCTCCTTAGCTGTTTCGCAGCCTCCCTCGGGTTTCCCTCAGGTTTTCGGTGGGACATCGGACTTTAGCCGATGGGAAAGAGGGGCCTCGTTCCTTATTCAGGGCTCCTTGGGTCAACGCCCCGACTGTATATGTTGTGCAAGCTACACAGGGTGCGCTCGTGCGGCACGATTCACGGGACAGCTGCAGAAGGACGAGGGACACGGGGGCGAGGGCCCAGGCTCGAGGAGGACACGGGGGCCGGAAGGAGGGGCAGGAGCAGGACGCGCGGTGGGCCGAACCGTCAGCGCGGCAGCAGCAGGGGGAAGGTGGCATGGGGAAGAGAACGACGACGAAAGTGGCGGGAGGAAACCGAAGAGTGTTGCTTTTGTCGGTCGTGCGCTCCGGATGCAGCGCTGGCCGGGCCATGCATCATGACGCTGCGGCGCTCGACAGCATGAATAAACCTGCTTATTGATAGTGCAAGAAACGAGCGAGGCCATCTCGTCCGCCAAATTCCCTGTTTCCGTCCTGCACGGTTCAACGCGGGATCTAAACGCTCGAAGGGTCGCCGCCAGGTCTGCGGGCGGCCCGCGACAGCGCCCCGCGGGACACCCCCAGCAAACCTCGAAAGCGGCGACAGTTTCACACATCGCGGCCCCCCCAGGGATGACGACTTCAAATTCGAATCTGCGAAAGACGCCACTCGGGCGGACCGCCCCAGCAGCCCTCAAAAGTGACGACCGTTTTGCACATCGCAGCCCCCGGGGATGGCGAGGTCTAGTCTGAGTATGCGGCGAGTGCCCACTATGTTGGACCCCCAGCGGCTTTCCAAAGTGGCGACAGTTTCGCACATCGCAGCCCCCCTAGAATGGCGAGGCCTAATCTGCTTCCGCGGCGAGGACCCACTATGCTGGACCCCCCAACAACCCTCGACATTGTCGACCGTTTCGGGATGGCGAGGTCGAGTTTGAGTCCGCGTAAGACGTCGCGCCGCTGGACCCCCGAGCAGCCTCGAAAGTGGCGACCGTCCCGCAGATCGCAGCCCCCCAGGGACGTCGAGGTCAAATTTGACTCCGTGTGGGAACTCACTCCGCTGGACCCCCCTCCAGCAGCCCTCGAATGTGGCGACCGTTTCGCAGATCGCAGCCCCCCCCCAGGGATGACGAGGTCTAGCGTGATTGAATCCGTGTAGGACGCCGCCCCGCCGGACCCCCGAAGAACCCTCGAAATTGCCGACTGTTACGCAGATCGCAGCCACCCAAGGATGTCGAGGTCGAATTCGAGTCCGCGTGGGAGTTCATTCCGTTGGGCCCCTAGCAACCTTCAAAAGTGGGCGTGGGAGTTCATTCCGCTGGGCCCCCAGCAACCTTCAAAAGTGGCGGCAGTCCCACACATCGCAACCTTCCAGGGATGGCGAGGTCTAGAATGAGACCGCGTGGTCCCTACCCCATTGGACCCTCCCCAGCAGCCCGCGAAATTTGCGACAGTTTCGCATATCGCTGCCCCCTAAGGATGGCGAGGTCTAGTTTGAGTCCGCATGAGGCGTCGCTCCGCTGGACCCCCCAGCAGCCTTCGAACGTGGCGACAATTTCACAGACCGCAGTCCCCCAGAGATGGCGAGGTCGAATTTGAGCCCGCGTGGGACGTCACTCCGCTTGACCCCGAAGCAGCCTTCGAACGTGGCGACAATTTCACAGACCGCAGCCCCCTAGGGATGGCGAGGTCAAATTTGAGCCCGCGTGGGGCCTCATTCCGCTGGACCCCCAAGCAGCCCTCGACCGTGGCGACAATTTCACAGACCGCAGCCCCCCTAGATGGCGAGGTCTAATTTGAGACCGCGTGGGGCCCCACTCCGCTGGACCCACCAGCAGTCCTCAAGAGGGGCGACAGTTTCACACATTGCAGCCCCCCAGGGATGGCGAGGTCTAATCTGAATCCGCGGCGAGTGCCCGCTATGCTGTCCCAAAAGCAGCCTCGAAAGTGGCGACCGTTTGACAGATCGCAGCCCCCGAAAGATGGCGAGGTGTACTCTGAATCTGCGGCGAGTGCCCACTATGTTGGACCCCCCAGCAGACCTGGAAAGTGGCGACAGTTTCACACATCTCAGCCCCCCAGGGATTGGCCAGGTCTAACCTGATTCCGCGGCGAGGACCCACTATGCTGGCCCCCCCGGCAGCCCTCGAAAGTGGCAACAGTTTCGCCGATCGCAGCGCCCCAGGGATGGCGAAGTCTAACCTGAACATTCGGCGAGTGCCCACCATGCTGGCCCGCCAGCCGCCTTCGAACGTGGCGACACTTTCACAGATCGTAGCCCCCCACGGATTGGCGGGGTCTAATTTGAATCCGCGGAGAGTTTGGGAACCCCCAAACCGGGTGGTGAGATACCAGGTGGCGACCTGGAATCCCCAAAAAGGTCACCGCTGGGTTTGGGGACGCGGGGTCACCACCTGGTTTTGTGACTCCTGGACCCACCAGTGTCCGGGACATCCTCGGAAAACCGCACGAGTCCCCAAACCAGGTGGTGACACCAAATCGCCCGAGACTCACCGCCAGGTGTTGTCACCACCACGTTTGGGGACTACCAAAGAGTGCCCGTTATGTTGACCACTCCGCAACCATCGAATTTGGTGACAGTTCCACAGATCGCAACCCCCCAGGTATGGCGAGGTCCAATTTGAATCCGCGGCGAGTACCCACTATGTTGACCCCCCCAGCAGCCCCTCGAAAGTGGCGACAGTTCTGCAGATCGCAGCGCTCCAGGGGTGGCGAGGTCTAGTCTGAATCCGCGGCGAGTGTCCAATATGCTGGCCCCCCCAGCAGCCCTCGAAAGTGGCGACAGTTTCACAAATCGCAGCCTCCCGGGGATGGCGAGGTCTAATTTGAATCCGCGGCGAGTGCCAATTATGCTGACCCCCCCAGCAGCCCTCGAAAGTGGCGACCGTTTCGCAGATCGCAGCGCCCCAGGGATGGCGAGGTCCTCAGCGCCGAGGCTCTGTCGACGGCAGAGAGGCTGTTTTGCAGATCGCAGCCCTCTGGGTTTGGCCAGGTAGGAGGCAAGCTAGCACGCAGGAAGGAGTGAGGTGAGAGGCAGGATAGAAGGGGAGAGGGGGCGGGCGAAGGTGTGCGACCGCAGTGCCTTATTCAAATTAAGAACCCAACGCAGGAGGGTTGGGACAAAGATTCTGGATGAGGAGCCGGCCTCCTGGAAGGGGTCCAGATCATGGGGGTGCCCATCACGACGTCGGATGTCTGGGCATTCCTACCTCCCATCTCCTCCCGCAGTTACTTCTTGTCCCGTCGTCCCTCTTTTCCTTCCCCCTCGGCTGTTGCTGCTCGTCCGCCGTTCCCTCCTCGTCTCTGGCCTGGCCTGAGGTGCGAGGGGCTGAGGTTGGTCCACGTGGGCGCCGGCGAGACGTGTCAGAGCAAGTGCAAGGAGCTACAGGGATTTCGGCTGTACACGCATGATGAGATGCTTCATGCCGTGTCTCTCCCCTTGCCGCTTCTCCTTCCCCCTCCTGCTCCTCCGCTTTACTCCGCTCCCTCTCTTGCAACTCTGTGCTTCTGTTGTGCCTGCCTCGTTCCCACGTCTTCAGTCTTCCTCCTGCGCACTTTCTGTTGCGCAAGTGCGATATGGCCAGTCTTGTCGGCTGCAGCCGCGCCAATGGGCCGTTGCTCATAAGCGGCTGCTGCCGCCTCTTCCCCCGCCTCCTCCTCCTCCTCCACCTCCTCCTCCTCCTCCTCCTCCTCCTCCTCCTCCTCCTCCTCCTCCTCCTCCTCCTCCTCCTCCTCCCCCTCCCCCTCCCCCTCCTCCTCCTCCTCCTCCTCCTCCTCCTCCTCCTCCTCCTCCTCCTCCTCCTCCTCCTCCTCCTCCTCCTCCTCCTCCTCCTCCTCCTCCTCCTCCTCCTCCTCCTCCCCCCCCCCTGTCGCGCTGCTGAGCCTCGCCTGCGCCCTCCCGCCCAAGCCAGAGAGGCCACCCCGAACTCTTGGGAGCCCCCGCCCCCGTCGGCTGGGAAGCTGGGATGCCGTGCCCCTGGCGGTGGCGGAGGCGGTGCCGCTGCGCCACCCTCCTGGGGAGGGGCAGCAGCCGGGCCAGCTCTGGCCTGGTTTGACAAACCAACAACACGCACCCATACCCATAGAGGGGTCGGAGAGGGCTATGGGTGCGCGTTGTCGGATGGGGGTCCCCGCTCGAACGGGAGCGTTCCCCAGGGTCCGACAACAACCCGCACCCATACCCATAGCCAGTCCTCCTCCCAACGACCCGCCTATGGGTATGGGTGCGTGTTGCTCGTTCGTCATAGCTCGGTAGCGTCTATCCGATCCCCATCCCCATCTCCATCCCCTTCGAGACCCCCTACCAAATTAACCCTCCAGTCGGGGATACACCCCTCGAAACCCGAAGGGAACGGCCCGTATCCCCATCTAGGGGGGGTAAATCGGCCAGTGGGGCCCAGGCCGCGCCGCTGGGGATGGGGATCGGTTAAACGAAGTTCAGTAGCCGGCTATGGCCTAGCAATGGCCGTGGCCCGCCGTCTTCGGCACCTCAGATTTGCCGATGTCCGCACGATGCGGCTTTGAATACCCAAGTGGGCTTACCTAAGAGGGGCCTGCTTGGCTGGAGGTTGGTGCTTCCTGATGTTACGTTGCCCGTTGCTCGGAGGTTCCCGGGGTTCCCCGCCGCCGGTGCCTCCTATTGTTCCCAACCATCCTGTGGTGTTGGGTCCTCGTTTTGAAGAGACGGTGCCCCGCGTCTCTCCTTCCTCCTCCCCCTCCTCCCTCCTCCCCCTCCTTGCCTCTGCTCTCGGCACATCGCTCACACGCTTCGTGGCCCCATAGGGAGCTCCACCGAAGGCCCCAGTGGAGAGGTCGCATGCGGTTCCCCCGCCCAGGGCAGCGTTTCGTGGCCCCATAGAGAATTCCACCAAAGGCCCCAGTGGGGGGGGTGTCGCATGCGGTTCCCCCGGCCAGGGCAGCGTTTCGTGGCCCCATAGGGAGCTCCACCGAAGGCCCCAGTGGGGGGGGTGTCGCATGCGGTTCCCCCACCCAGGGCAGCGCTTCGTGGCCCCATAGGGAGCTCCACCGAAGGCCCCAGTGGGGAGGGTCGCATGCGGTTCCCCCACCCAGGGCAGCGCTTCGTGGCCCCATAGGGAGCTCCACCGAAGGCCCCAGTGGGTGGGGGGTCGCATGCGGTTCCCCCACCCAGGGCAGCGTTTCGTTGTCCTATAGGGAGCTCCACCGAAGGCCCCATTTGGGGGGGGTCGCATGCGGTTCCCCCATCCACGGCAGCGCTTCGTGGCCCTATAGGGAGCTCCACCGAAGGCCCCATTTGGGGGGGGTCGCATGCGGTTCCCCCACCCACGGCAGCGCTTCGTGGCCCTATAGGGAGCTCCACCGAGGCCCCATTCGGGGGGGGGGGGGTCGCATGCGGTTCCCCACCCAGGCAGCGCTTCGTGGCCTCATAGGGAGGCCCACCGAAAGGCACCATTGGGGGGGGGGGTCGCATGCGGTTCCCCCACCCAGGGCAGCGCTTCGTGGTCTCATAGGGAGCTCCACCGAAGGCCCCAATGGAGGGGGGTCGCATGCGGTTCCCCCACCCAGGGCAGCGCTTCGTGGCCCCATAGGGATCTCCACCGAAGGCCCCAGTGGGTGGGGGGTCGCATGCGGTTCCCCCACCCAGGGCATCGTTTCGCTGTCACATAGGGAGCTCCACCGAAAGCCCCAGTGGGGGGGTGTCGCATGCGGTTCCCCCGGCCAGGGCAGCGTTTCGTGGCCCTATAGGGAGCTCCACCGAAGGCTCCAGTGGGGGGGTGGGGTCGCGTGCGGTTCCCGTGCCCACGGCAGCGTTTCGTGGCCCCATAGGGAGCCCCACCGAAAGGCACCATTGGGGGGGGGGGGGGGGTCGCATGCGGTTCCCCCACCCAGGGCAGCGCTTCGTGGCCCCATAGGGAGCTCCACCGAAGGCCTCAGGGAAGGGGGGGGTCGCATGCGGTTCACCCGCCCAGGGCAGCGTTTCGTGGCCCCATAGGGAGCTCCACCGAAGGCCCCAGTGGCTGCTCTCGCATGCGGTTCCTCCGCCCAGGGCAGCGCTTCGTGGCCCCATAGGGAGGTCCACCGAAATGCCCCATTGGGGATGTTCGCATGCGGTTCCCGTACCCAGGGCAGCGCTTCATAGCCCCATATGGATTCCGCCGAAGGCACCACTGGGAGCGGGGGGAGGGGTCGCATGCCCTATAGGGAGCTCCACCGAAGGCCCCAGTGGCTGCTCTCACATGCGGTCCCCCCGCCCAGGGCACCGTTTCGTGGCCCCGTAGGGAGCTCCACCGAAGGCCCCAGTGGTTGCTCTCGCATGCGGTTCCCCCGCCCAGGGCACCGTTTCGTGGCCCCAAGGCCCCAGTGGCTGCTCTCGCATGCGGTCCCCCCGCCCAGGGCAGCGCTTCGTGGCCCCATACGGAGCTCCACCGAAGGCCCCAGTGGCGCAGTTCGCATGCGGTTCCCGTACCCACGGCAGCGTTTCGTGGCCCCATAGGGAGTTCCACCGAAGGCCCCAGTGGCGCAGTTCGCGTGCGTTTCCTCCACCCAGGGCAGCGCTTCGTGGCCCCATGGGGAGCTTCACCGAAGGCCCCCGTGGCGCAGTTCGCATGCGGTTCCCCCACCCAGGGCAGCGTTTCGTGGCCCTATAGGGAGCTCCACCGAAGGCCGCAGTTCGCATGCGGCTCCCCCAGGGCAGCGCTTCGTGGCCCCATAGGGAGCTCCACCGAAGGCCCGCCCCAGTGGCGCAGTTCGCATGCGGTTCCCCCACCCAAGGCAGCGCTTCGTGGCCCCATAGGGAGCCCCACCGAAAGCGGCACCCACAACGCGTTACGAGCAATTGCTTATGGCTGGGCCCTTCGCCAGGATAATTATTTTATCTGTTTCTTGGAGGTTCCACGGGTTCCTTGGGTTCCCCGCCCCTGGTGCCTCATGCCAAGCCAAGTAATGCCAAGCGATGCCAAACACTGCGGCCATGCAATAGGAAGCTTACCCCTAATTGGGGTCGCGTCGGGCTCATTCAGAGACTCATTCCGAAAGAGGGGGCGCTCCCCCTCGCCCTCCCCGATCCACTCATCGCTCCACCTTCCCTGCCTCTGTAGAGGCCGTGGACAGTCACTGTCTGATCTGAGGGCGAGACCCCGCCGCGCCGCCCTGTTCAGGGCCGCGTCCCTGGATCCGATGGCAGCGCGCTGTTTTTTTTTTTTGTTCTCTCTCTCTCTCTCTCTCTTTCTCCTCGGTGCAGTAGGAGCTCGACACAAGAAACCTTCCGCACGAAGCCCAACCCTGAGACTCCAGGACATCCACTTTTTTTCCTGGCGTGGGGGCGCCGTGCGCTTTCCACCACGGCACCCTCGACACCCCAGGGCACCCCGGAGGCACGCAGGGCGCCCCTCGGCAGGGGCCTCAACCGGGATAGGGGCCGGAGGGCCGCGCCGGCGGCGGTGTGTCTCCAGTGTGGCTCGACGTGGAGCCCGACCTGCTTCACGTCGACGTCGCCGATGCACCCCCGACGTCGACGATCCAGGGTGTCAGAGCCCCGAATCATCAGGGGTAACTCGGGTCAGGGCTAACTCGGGTTCGTTTTTCGGGAATCCAAACCCGAGTTACCCCGGACCCGAGTTACCCTGGATAACTCGGGCGTCCAGAGCCCCGAATCATCAGGGGTAACTCGGGTAAGGGCTAACTCGGGTTCGTTTTTCGGGAATCCAAACCCGAGTTACCCCGGATAACTCGGGCGCCCAAGGGTGCCTCTTGGCCTCGTGGTGTCCCAGCCTTCTTTTAGCCCTGACCACCAGAGAGAATTCCGAGCGCCAGGACAGCACCCCAAAGCTCGAGGGCTTTCACGTGGTCGGGCCCTGGGAGACACTCGTCCGGCACTGTTTCGGCACCATTTCGACACTCTTTCGGCACTCTTCCGGGTGCTCGAAGTTATTTCTGGGATGTGGTCCTTGAGTACGATGGGAGCAGCATACAGTGCCGTTTTTAACACATGCTCCGCGTGCGGATCATGTATTCAAAAATCGCAGGGATTCAGCATTAAGCACAGCGATGAGCTCATGCATCAATTTGTTCATGAGTTAATCCTGCAGTCCAATCCAATATGTTGAAACAAATCCTATGTGTTAAGCAACTGCCCTGTAATCCAGTTTGGCTCGACGTGGAGCCCGATCTGCTTCCTACATCTGCTCACCACGCTACTGGGAGATGCCTGCTGGTTGTCTCGTGTTGGCAAGGGACGGGCGTGAGGAGGGGGAGGAGGGGAGAGGGGGAGGAGGAGGAGGAGGAGGAGGAGGAGAGGAGGAGGAGGAGGAGGAGGAGGGAGGAGGGGAGGGGGAGGAGGGGGGGGGAGGGGGTGAGGAGGGGGAGGGAGGGGGAGGAGGAGGGGAGTGGAGGAGGAGGAGGAGGAGGAGGAGGAGGAGGAGGGGGAGGAGGAGGAGGAGTCCACGCCGCCGGTGGCGCCCCCGACGCCGACGTTGCAGGCCTGCCTCCTGGCCCGCGCCTCCCCCGCAGGGCCCGAGGCCCGCCTCGGCCTGCGCTTCGAGGCGGCTCCCTCGGAGGGCTCCCCCGCGCGGCCGCCCTCGCGGGCGCCGCCCCCGCGGGCGCCTCCGCCGTCCTCCTCCTCGCTCCTCCTCCTCCTCCTCCTCCTCCTCCTCCTCCTCCTCCTCCTCGCTCCTCCTCCTCCTCCTCCTCCTCCTCGTCCTCCTCCTCGCTCCTCCTCGTCCTCCTCCTCGCTCCTCCTCCTCCTCGTTCTCCTCATCGCTCCTTCTCCTCCTCCTCCTCCTCGCGATCCTCGCGGGTGCCCCTGGGGGCCGTCCTCCTCCTCGCTCCTCCTCCTCCTCAGGGGACTCCCCTGGTTGTTGGCGATCTTTCTCGGGCCGGACGAAAGGGGGGGATTGGGAAAGGGGGGGTCACGAAAGTTGCTGCATGCAGCTGGCTTCGGCCTCACCGAGGGGCCCATTCCTCGATACATAGCCGCCTCCAGCGCCGGGAGGCGCCGGGGAAATCAGCTGCGCGAGCTGCTTCTCCCCCCCCCCTTTGCTATCCCCCGCTTTCGCCCGACCCGAGCCCTGGGGGAGGGGAGCACGCCGCCCTGTCCTCGGCAGCAAGCAGGAGGAGGAAAAACACACAGACACAATGAATCGTCGGTCCCCAAGAAAAGAGAGGGAAATGTGGGAAGTGTGGGGGGGAAGACAGAAACCCAGAGAATATATGACAATATAGGGAATTTTGTTATTTGTGTCTATATTTTTGTGTGTCTCAGTTTCTCTTCAAGCAAGTCGGGCCCGAGCCTCTGCATGAGGACCATACAGAAGCAGTCCACAAGTCATCAGTGGACGACTTGCTCTTCCCAGTTTTGCCTGTTGGGAGGTACTGTTTGACTGCTTTGTGTGTTTCGTCACAATCCGCCAGTAGGAGGACATGCCCGATCTAACCCCAGCAGGAGACCCCGCTGTGCGGCGTCTGGGCCACCAACGAGAGCACTAGCAACGCCTCCATGTGCTGGCACGGGCTGGCAGGTCTGGCGTCCAACGGCTTGGCATCGCCCGGACGCGTGAGTTTGTTCTTGTTCCTACCGAAGGCCACTGAGGCGCATCTTCGATCATTTCCGACAAAAGACACGCTCGAAATCGTCAAACACACCAGAGATGGGCGTCCGAGCGATGGCAAGGCTGAGCTTCGCCGTCGTCGTCGTTGTCCGTCGTCGTCGTCGTCGTCGTCGTCGTCGTCGTCGTTGTCCGTCGTCTTCGTTTTCGTCGTCGTCGTCGTCTCCGTCGTCCGTCGTCCGTCTCAGTCGTCGTCGTCGTCGTCGTCGGGGTCGGGGTCGTCGTCGTCGTCGTCGTCGTCGCGGTCGTCGTCGTCGTCGTCGTCGTTGTCGTCGTCGTCGTCGTCGTCGTCGTCGTCGTGGTCATCCATTCGGAGTTCCTTGAGCGTCTTTTGAGGATCTCGTTGCCGCCGCTGTGCGCAGCTCGAAACAACTAGCCAGGACAGAAGGATCGCCATGATAAAAAATGGGATGTGGAGGAAAGGTGTCCTCGATCCTTGAGGTCGTTTTCAGGCTTCTTGGCCAACCCTCAGACCCCACGTCCGTCAAGAAACCATTCACAATGAAGAGATTGTCCTGTTGAAAGCTCATGGGTCCGAGCAGTGCGTGGGGAGCGGGACAAGCTGGTCTCACCGAGCGCGCTCCAATACCCACAGGGTGCCTACTCGCAAACGCCCGACAAAAACATGTCTTCATCTACGCATGGATTGTACATCCCCAGCGGCGGGTCCATCACGTGGTTCCAAAGGGACCCCAGGGAAAGGGACTTTGAGACGGGCGAAGCCGATTTCTCGAGTCCGTTCGGCTTCGCCCGCAAGGCCGCGACGCTTTCACTCGCACTTCGTCGGAGTCTCACATGCCACGCCGCGCTCTCAGAAGTCCCTTTCGCTGGATTCCCGCTCAGGACAAGTATCAGTCCAGGCCATTTGCGAGCGGCTACACCTTAGGCGATGCTTAAGAAAACCCAAGTTTTCGGCCAGAGTCTCGATTATTCTGAACGTTTCGATTTAAATATGAAGATTTTAGTAGACATGTTGGGTTTTTATTCAAGTTCTGAGACTATGAATTTCTTAACCCATGATTTCTTAAGCATTTCGCAGGGTGTACTCTGCGAGCAGCGGAGCGCGCCTGTCGATGCCATTTGGGATGCAGGTGCCATGCAGGCTGCCGCGCGAGGGCGCCCCGAGAGGTGCAGCCTGCGCGAGGGTCAAGTCGTCAGCGTCAGCGCCGTCGCCATCGGCGTCGTCAGCGTCAGTGTCGTCGGCGTCGTCGACGTCGTCAGCGTCAGCGCCGTCGGCGTCAGCGTCAGCGTCGGTGTCAGCGTCGTCGTCGTCGTCGTCAGCGTCAGCGTCGGTGTCAGCGTCGTCGTCGTCGTCGTCGGCGGCGTCAGCGTCAGCGTCGTCGCCGTCGTCGTCTTCGAAGAGCCAGCCCCGGCTCTGGAGGGTTCCCCGGTGTGCTCCCCCGTGCACCTTGTGCGCGCGCCTCGCTCGGGGCACGCCCGGAGCCCGGGGGGGCCTCAGAAGCACTTCTTTCTTCGAGCTTGCCAGCACGTTCCTGGAACCTTTTGTCCATATTGAGAGCCATCGTGGGCTATCAGGAGTCATCTTGGAGCCACCAGGAGCCATTCGGGGCTCCTTAACCTCTCGAGGACCCCCCGCAGACCCCCAGGAGGGGGAGGAGGAGGAGCAGGAGGAGGAGGAGGAGGAGGAGGAGGAGGAGGAGGAGGAGGAGGGGGGGTAAACCGTAAACCCATCCCCGGAAAGGGGAAGAAGGCAGATTCGGAGAGGGACGAGACAAACTCTTATAACAAGTACGTCCAGACGAAACCCGCCGACCCATCGTCGTGTGTGCAACGCTGTCGTCGTCTTCGTCGTCTTCGTTGTCGTCGTCGTCGTCGTCGTCGTCGTCGTCGTCGCAAGTCTCAAGAAAATTGAGGAGTGGGCAGAGAAGACACGTCGTAGTGAAGTCGATTCCCTTCCTGTCGTCCCTTCCCTGCCGGGGAGGGGAGGGGGGGAGACCAGTAGGGAGAGGGGCCCCGGGACGACATATTTTGCCGCCGCCCCCTGGGGGTCCCCCGGCGGGTCCCGGGGAGCTGCTCGTGGCCCCAGCTGTGGACGGGGGACACGAGGAGGGGCTCCCCCTGCTCTGGCCCCGGCCCCCGGCCCCCGGCCCCCGGCCCCTGGCCCCGGCCCCGGCCCTGGCCCCGGCCGTGGCCCCGGCCCGGGCCCGAGGTCCCGGGAGCGGGGCCGCGGGGGCCCGGGGAGGTCCCGCCTTCGGGGTCGGCGGCGCCCGGCGGAGGGCCGTCACGAGAGAGAGAGACGGAGAGAGAGGGGGAGAGGAGGAGCCGTGCACGTCAGAGGTGCAATTTGGCAGGATGGTGGGGCCAGCCGCGATGGGTTACATGTAAGTCGGGCGTGTCCCCCTACAGGGGGATTTTCGACGAAAAAGTAAAAATACTCTTTTTTTAGTATTTTTTGACCTTCTTGGAGTACGTCGAAACTCCCCCTGCAGGGGGACACGCCCGACAGAAGGTTACATGTTCGGTGGCTCTGTTGTGGAGGAGAGGTGAGGCCACGCAGACGAGTGCTCTTGTTTCCGGGCCCCTGCGGATTCCGGAGCAAGGTTAAGAGCACCTCGGCCCAGAGGGTGGGTTGGATTCTCCGAGGGCCTCCCTCCCCCGGGCCGACGGCGAAGACGACGAGAAAGGCCTGCACTGCGAGTCCACGGAGGTCCCGCCCCCCGCGCGGGCGCAGCGGCTGATGCACGGCAGCTACAGGGAGCTGATCAACACCATGGGCATGCAGGTCACCAAGGGGCCCCTCCAGACCTCCAGTGCCAGGGAGGGGGGGAGGGAGGGCGAGTACTCCAGATTTCGTAAGAAAGGGAGGGGGGTCTCATTTCGGGGGGGGTGGGTCTCTTCCAGGCTATCTTGGAGGGCCTGGGGGGTCTGGGGACGATGTTTTGGAGGGTTCTCCCACGGGGGAGGTCTGAAATGGCTTGTCTTGGAGGGTCCAGACCCCCTCCCTTTTATTGCGAAATCTGGAGTATCTAACGGCCTTCGAACCATCCCGTCACCGTGCCTGGGTTGTGGGTATGAAGCCTATTGGATGGTCGGTGGAATCTCGTGGGAGGCCTCTCTGGGGGTTTTCTTGGAATCAGTTTTTATGCCTCTTGGGGGCCGTTCTGGGGCCTCTTTTGGGCCTCTTGGGGGCCTCTTGGGGGCCTCTCCTGTGGGCCTCTTAGGGCGGAATGCCTCGGCTTTTGGTTGGTGCTCCCTCTCTGGGGCTCCTTTTGGGGCCGTCTTGGGCACCTCTTGGGCCGTCTCTGAGGCCGTCTTGGGAGCCCTCTTGGAGGCCTCTTGGGCCGTCTTGGGGCGGTGTTGGGGGCCTCTTGGGCAGGCTTGGATCGTTCCTTCAAACACCTAAGGGACATCAAACAATGATTGTTGCCTCTTGAGGCCCTCTTGGGAGGCCTCTTGGAGGCCTTTTGTGGCGTCTTGGAGGCCTCTTGGGCCATCTTGAGGCCGTCTTGGGCGTCTTGGAACGATCCTTCGGCGACTCGGAGCCATCCTGGACCGTCTTGGAGGCCTCAATGGGCCCTCTCGGCCCGTCCAGATGTCCTCTCGGGCCCGAACAAATCACGGGGGGGGACCCGACACGCCCCCGACCAGGCGCGAGAGGCCCCAGGAGATTTCGCAATCTGGGCTCTGGGCCCTTCAAAGACTCCTCGGGAGTGAAGGCTGGGGCTCGGGGGATTGGGCAAAGGACCCGAGGACACGCCCACTCCATGCCCAGTAGCACGGTGGCGAATATGGTCAAGTTGCACTCGGGGAGGGGGCTGTTGAGTAGTGGGTGTGGTCTGGGGACGGAGGCTGTCGAGTATTGGGTGTGGCGTTGGAGACGGATGGAGTTGAGTCGAAGGATTTTTGTCAAGTCAAATTTGGGGAGGAGGTTGTGGTTTGGTGGGTGTGGTGTTGGAGGCGGGGCGAACATCGCTGTCAATATGTCCCCAACAAGTTTTTTCAAAGGAGCTTCAAAAGTGGGTGCGGGTATCGTAGGAAGCACATGCATGTTCAACTCGAACGCGCACTAGGGCGATTCGTGGTGCGTGCGCAGGGCGATATATGGTCGAAGGTTTTGCCCCCCCCTCTCCCCCCAATGCTAATGCCATCAGGCCCCCCCCCGCGCGATGCCCCCCCCCCCCCCTGTGGGCGTGGGCGTGGCGTGGTGCCTCCCCCCCCCCTGTGAATGTGGCGTGGGTGTGGTGTGTTGCTGTGGGTGTGTGCGGGGTGACGCCATGGTCCTCCACAATTACTCAATATGAATACTACTCTCCCTCTTTCCCTGATGACGGTTTGAAAGTGCTCGACCCCCCCCCCCCGCGTATTGTTTTTTACACAGGTTTCCCCGGAGTTGGGTTTTCGCTTGCATTTTTTTCAAAATGCTGCTCTCGCTGAGGCGCCGGCCTCATTTTCGGGCCCCGCTCGTTGCGAATCGTGCTCCCGCTGCAGCGCTGGCCTCATTTCCGTGCTTCCGCTCGTTCCGAATCGTGCTCCCGCTGCAGCGCTGGCCTCATTTCCGCGCTTCCGCTCGTTTCGACTCGTGCTCCCGCTGCAGCGCTGGCGTCATTTCCCGTGCCATGCCACGGCATGCAATGCAATGCTAGGTTGATACTACGCTTTGCGGTGCTCTTCTACGCCATGCCATGCCGTGCTCTACAATGCATCGCGTACCCTTTCGGGATCATCTCCCTGCTCGACATCCGACTGTGCGAGTAGAGAGGGGATCTACGCCATGGTAAGGGATGGGAGGGAGGGGTAGGATGTCAGATATGACGCGAGCGCACCTAGCTTGTCCCCCCCCCTCCCTCCCCCCTTGTGGGTGCGGTGTGGGTGCGGCGTGTGGCTGGGATTGGCGTCATGTTGACAGCTCCGGTGCTCGACGTCGTCGCCGCGGCCACTGGTGGTGCCGTCGACGTCGTCGTCGTTGTCGTCGTCGTCGTTGTCGTCGTCGTCGTCGTCGTTGTCGGTGTCGTCGTCGTAGTCGTCGTTGTCGTCGTCGTTGTCGTCGTCGTCGTCGTCATTGCCGTCGTCCTCCTTCTCCTCCTCCTCCTCCTCCTCCTCCTCCTCGACGCAGCCAAGCGGAATAGTTCAGTCCAGACCGCCTCGAAAGGAGGGGGGCCAAACGCCTCCCCCCCGCGACCCCCCAGAGCTAGGAGCCGCACCGCCGACGGGGCCCGAGGCAGGAAAGAGGAGGAGGAGGAGGAGGGGGGAAAAGAGGAGGCGCTGGCCTCACACGTTCTGCCCGAAGAGCAGCACTGACCACCGAAGGTGGCCAGCCCCCATGCCTCCCTGGCTCTTCCTGCACCAGGGGACACAGGCTACCCCACGTCACCGTGCGGGGCACACGGCGCGTGTTTCCGCACAAGGGTAGCCAGGCCCGCCCCCACAGGCCCCCTTGTCCAAGGGGGGCCAGGCGGTACACGTCTTGAGCCGTACTCCCGAAGGAGCCGACCCCCCTGGTCACACCCGACACCCCGACGTCAGGGGCGGGCCCCAACAGTGACCAGAGCCAGCCCCCGCGCAGGCTGGTACCACGCGGGCCGACGCGGACTGGAGAACCAGCCCGCGCCAGCCCTGGGGGGTTACCCACGCGGCCCTAGAACGTCGGGTCCCCGGGGGACCTGAGACGGCAGACCGACTCCCAACGGGGACCGCCCGGCGGAGTCGGGGGGCCGCCCCAGGCCCGCCAGGACACCAACGCCCCAGGGCCAGGGCGCCGCAAGCGACGACATGGCGGATTGCAGTTCCCCCAGGGGCCCCGATGCGCCGCCCCGCACCGAGGTCCCCCCCTGGGGGCCCTCCTCCTCCTCCTCCTCCTCCTCCTCCTCCTCCTCCTCCTCCTCCTCCTCCTCCTCCGATGGTGGTCGGCCTCGGTCGAGAGCTCAGCGACACCAGCCCCCGCGACGGGCAGGCGAGGACCTATCGTGGGACGCCGTGCACTCCAAGGCGGCGCGCCACCTGCTGGAGTGCGAGAATTTCTTCCAGAGAATCTGGCGGAGGAAGGGAGTCTGGCCGCACCTGGACGCCGAAGCCGTCGGCTTCTTCTCGCGTGGCATACTTGCCTTAGCGCAGGCAGACTTCGAGCAGCAGGTCGACCGCATCCTGAGTATCTCCTCCGTTGCTGAGGCCAATCATGAGAAGGCCGTGATGCAGAGCTGGAGGCAGTGGGCGCAGGCAGCTTTTGCGGCTGGAGCCAAGGGAGCTCACCGATTCATGAAGCCCAAGGCTCTCCAGGAGATCGTGGACGGAGGCAATGGGCTACAACATGGGTACGTACTGGCTGATCGTAAGCTTGAGTATTGGGAAAGCTTCTGGGTGCGGCATGGCGGTGAGCTGGCTCGCCGACCTGTTGATGCTGACACTTGGGAGCAGCTGCCAAGGCTTGAGGCGGCCGACGTACTCAAGGCAATCCGTTGTTTCTCTTGGCAGACAGGCGTCGGGCAGATCAACATCGCGCCCAGGGCCATGGAGCACCTCTCCCACGGGGCGCTGACGGCTATGGCGCGCCTCTTCGAGCGGTGCGAGCACCTCCTGCTGTGGCCAGACGGCAGATTCCTCTCGAAGCTCGTGAGACTCCCCAAGCCAGGGGGTGGGGAGCGCCTGATTGTGCTGATGAACACGCTGGTCAGGATCTGGGGACGGGCGAGGCGGCCTGTCTCGGCAGCGTGGGAGAAGGCCCATGCGCTACCAGAGGTCTGGGGCCACACTGGAGGCAAGTCGTCGAGTGATGCGGCCTTTGATTTGGCGCTCACCAAGGAGATGGCGACCCTGTGCGATGACGACGCCATCATTGTGCTGCTGGACATGCTCAAATGCTACGAGCTGGTCAGGCATGATGCCATTTTGTTGGAGTGCAGGGCCAGTGGATACCCTATGCGAATGGCGTTCATGCTTGTGCAGATGTACCAGCAGCTGCGCTCGGTGCACTCGTATTCTTCGTATTCAGTGGCGCGCAGGGCGTATCAGGGCATCCTGGCAGGCTGCACCCACGCCACTACGCTTCTCATGGTGTTGTTGACTCGCAGCATTCGCCAGACGATGTCGGTCGCTCCTCAGGTTCAGCCCAAGGACTTGGTGGACGACGTCGCGCTGTGCTGGGTCGGCAACGACCCGAGCGGGGTGCGAGAAATGGCCATTGCCACTCGTGCTTTCTGCAGGGCTGTCCGGCCCCTCGGGCTGGTGCTGCAGATGGATAAGTCTGGGCACCTTACGACGTCCAGGCGCACCAGCTACCACTTTCAGAAGTACGCCAGGCTGCTGAAGATCGCTGGCAAGAGGCACATGCGGTATCTTGGCCACGACCTAGCTGGGTCGTCGGCCACAAGGGCCGTGCAGAAGGGACGCCTGAAGGCCATGCACGGAAAGAAGGCCAGCGTTCGAGCACTGCAGAAGGGAGCAGGACGACAGCGGGCGGCTCGGCTCTGGGCCACGGGTGTGCTGCCATCCGTGGGGCACGGAGCCACGGTCAGCGGCATCAGCGACACGGAGCTGCAGCAGATGAGGACCATGGCTGGCGTCTTCTGTGGCTACAAAGGGTCGGGCTCCCTGACGCTGTACCTGGCCGCGCAGCAGTGGAGCTTCGACCCCATATTCCACGCTACCTTCAGCATCGTGGGGCAGTACGCGGCGTGGGTGTGGGATGGGCGTGTGACGCTCTCCCGACTGCAGCGGGCCTGGATGGGCTTGCGTGACTCCTGGGAAGCCCGCCACACTCACGTCACGTGGGCCAGTGCGCAGGGCCCGCTTTCGGCCTTGTGGTTGTCCCTCAGGAGAGTCAACTGGAACATGGCAAGTTCTACAATCTTGGTTGACGATGAGGGCCTGCATATCAGTTTGCTGCAGTATTGTCCCAGTGAGGTGCTGTTTTTCCTGCGTCGCAGCCTCGACCGTTGGCAGAGCCATCGTATCCTCGACCAGCTGCCTGAGGCGCCCCCAGCCGATGGTGACGGCAGGCGGCAGCAGCATGTGTGGCTTCGTGCGCTTCGACTGGGACACGCCTCCTTGGCGCCTGGCCACAGAGGGGCTCTGGCCAAGCTGCAGTCCAACGGGTTCTGGTCGCCGCAGCGCCGCATGCAGGCTGGCTACGGCGGCGACGGTTCGTGCGAGTTCTGCGGGGAGGCCTGCTGCGACCTCGAGCATGAGATCTTCGGCTGCACGGTATTGCATCAGCAGCAGGAGGACGAGGAGACGGAGCCGTACCCCGAGGAGGTGGCCAAGAGGAGGAAGGACATCCTGGAGGCAGCCCCGTGGCGCGACGGGGGCCAGGTGCAGGACTTCTCGGCCGTCGACGTGCTCTACGCGCTGCCCCTGAGGCCTGCTTTCAGGCCGCTGCCTGCACGTGCTCAGGCTGAGCGCGAGTGGGGGGCGATCGACATGCCGTGGCCGTCGAAGTTGTACGGGGACGGGTCCTGTCTTGAAAGTGATTTCCCTGAGGAACGGCGCTGTGGCTGGGCCGTCGTGCATTGACCCGAGACCTGTGGCCATGCAAAGCTTTGTTCGGGAGCCTGGGGGGCCCTATCCAGACGGTGCCCAGGGCCGAGCGCGTTGCTGGTCTCAAGGCCCTGCAGAGGGCCCAGAGGCCAGCCACGTACGTGACTGATCATTTACAGCTGCAGGTCGAGGGAATGGCCTGGGAGGGTCGTCATGCTTCTGCCAGAGCGCCTCACGCGTCCATCTGGCGGAGCATCCACGAGCTGTATAGAGGCGACCCTGTCAGGCCCGTGTTTGTTTGGACGAAGGCCCATCGGACCGTCCTCGAGGGGTTTGAGGCCTGCCTGGCCTCCCAGGAGCCCCTGGAGCATTTTTTCGGTAATATGTGGGCTGATGTTTTCGCCCGCGTGGCAGCGGCTGATTTCCTTGGATCCACCTCCGTGGTCAAGGCTCACAAATTTTCTCTGCTTCGGGCCCAGGACACGATGCGTTGTCTGGCCTGGGCTGCCGAGCGCGTGGCCCGCCTCTCCACCCCGATACTCCGTGCGCCTCCGAAGGCTGTCTTTCGGCCCCGCCGTCCGCGGCGGCCGACCGATCACGACTTTGTGGTCTTCGCTGGGGGAGCTATTCGATGTCGAGCCTGCTGGAGGCTTGCAGCGACGGCCTCGTCGTTGAAGTCTCTGGCCTCCCGTGCATGCGACCCCCAGGAGGTCGGGCCAGGACACCAGGTCCAGGCCTTGGATCGAGTTTTGATCTGTGTTAAGTGCGGGGCGCACGCTGTGCGCCCCAATCGGCTGTCGGTCGGCCTGTCTCGAGCGTGCAAGAGGGCTGGGACGGGGTCGGCGGGAGCTGGGAGTGGGGGGGACGGAGCTATCGCGTCGATGCTCGAGCTGGCTCGAAGGGGCCTGCATCCCAAGACGGGCGAGCCCCTCGAGCCGCTCGTCTTCTCGGAGCTCGGGGTGCCTGCGATGCCGCAGCAGGCGCCCGAGCCCGAGGCACCTGACTAGTGGGCGGAAGTGCTGGCGGGGGGCGCGGTGCGAGTGGGGACTGCCCGGCGTTGCGCCGTTAGTGACCCTCGCACCGTTGCTCCCCAGCCCCGCGCACGGAAGGAGCAGATCCGCTGCACTTAAGGGCCCCTTAAGTGCAGCGGGCTGTCTTGGCCTCCATCGCGTCGATGCTCGAGCTGGCTCGAAGGGGCCTGCATCCCAAGGCGGGCGAGCCCCTCGAGCCGCTTGTTTTCTCGGAGCTCGGGGTGCCTGCGATGCTCAGCAGGCGCCCGAGCCCGAGGCACCTGAATAGTGGGCGGGTGCGGGCGGGGGGCGCGGTGCGAGTGGGGACTGCCCGGCGTTGCGCCGTTAGTGACCCTCGCACCGTTGCTCCCCTGCCCCGCGCACGGCGCGGAGAGCGCCTCTTGTTGGATGAGGGCCCTCTCTCGTTCTTTTTTTCGAGGCGTGTTCGTGATTCACCTGCACGCTCTCAGCACTGTCCTCACTGTCCTCCTCCTCCTCCTCCTCCTCCTCCCCCCCCCCCCCCCCCCATCCCATTTGGGGGGGGCCCGAGGACCCTGGGACCCATCCCATGGGGGGCGGGGGCCCGAGGATCCGGAGCCCGCGATCATATATCTATCCCCAGCTGTATACACTGAACATCAGTTTATCTGGTTGTACGGGAAGTGGGGAGGGGAAGAGGTAGGTGCAAGAGGGGTCCCCCCAGGTCATGAACCTGGAGAATGCTTTCGGGGTCCTGGGCAACGCGACCGAGGAGACGCAGAAGTGCCGCATGGTGTGCCTCTCGTCCCTGCTGTGCCAGCACTGGCAGTACTCGACCCACGATGGGTGCTGGGTGGAGGTCCCGACGCGCCAGCTCACGGGCTACCCCCTGGTGACGAACCCGCGGGTCATAAACCTCGGGTCGGAGGAGGCCAAGAGCGTCATCTCGAAGAAGAGAACCTTGCATAACCATGAACATTTTCGGCGCTCCGCGCGGATTTCTTGCATCCACGCTGTGGCCCCCCCCCCCCGCCGGCGCCTCTGGCTCCGCCCGTGGCGCGCTCCGCGCGCCAGGGAGGGGGGGCCCAGCGCGGAACCAAGAAATCCGCGCGGAGCGCCGAAAGTTTAAGTTTATGGCGTTTCTTCTTCTTCTATCATCGCTGGCGAATACATCCCTAGATGCTCGTCTGGGGGGCTTTCTTGGGGCCCCCTGACAGGTCTGGTCGACTCCAGTCCGACGCTGGCTCGACTCCAGTTCCACTCCACCTCGAGTCAATCTCTCGAGCTGGATTTGCAGTCGACGGACGGGCGACGCAGCATCGACGCATGCGTGGAGCGAGCGGCCTCAGAAAGGCCTCCAGCACGAGCATCTGAGCATCCAGCACACGTGCCCCGACGGGCCGATGCCGCTGGAGAGCGCAGAGCCGGGCGTCAGCCAGCAACAGGCGGACACGACCTCCGAGGTGCCGCCCGTCCTCTCGCTGGGGATCGAGGAGCACCTTCACGGGGCAACGCAGCATCAGCGGTCACCCTTCCCTCCTCGGGGGTCCTCGCCTGCCCCCAACACTGGTGCCCTTCCTTGTGCCCGACGCGGGCCCGATGCGAACTCGACGCAGACTTGGCGCGGGCTCGGCGCGGATTCGACGCGGATTCGACGCGGATCCGGCGAGTGCGATGCGGAGTCGACGCGGGCGCGCGGACGGGGCCGCGAGCAGACGTGGCGCAGGCCCCCCGAGGATGCAGCACAAGAAGGGCCCGCCGCCGGGGGGAGCCCGGCAAGAGGCCTGTTGCTGCAGGAGCAGTAACGCCTGTTCTCGGGGCAGTGCTCGCACTCGGGGGTGCCCAAGCAGCTGCCCACGCCAGTGCGCGCCTGTCGTTGAAAATAGGTAGTTGTTCGTGGATTCCCAGATCCAAGCCTGTTGCCAGCGCCTTCCTACTGCAAGAACCGATCAGAGCT